TCCATCCATCCATCCATCCATCCAATCATTGATTAATCCTTTCCATTTTTAAAGAACCAATTCCATTAAATATTCTTCATCAATTCAAATGACGACAAACAAGCCATACTATATAGAAGCTCTTCATTCAGAATATGTCGGAAACGATTTCTTCGAATTAAAAGTCAAATTACCAGGGACCAATATATTTGACTTTCTACCGAGTGACTACCTCATTGCTTATGCTCAAGGTAGGTATTAGACTTCATGTTTTGCATTTTATTCTATGACCGTCTCARCAGCATATATCCAATTTTGGCAATTTAAGGGAACTTTCTCATTCCTGAATCGAATTGAAAAAGGGAAATATTAAATTGGTCATGATTTTTTATTGAAAACTGGCCTGATTATGTCTAGGAAATGATCCCACATGATATTAAAAATTTATCCTGATTTGTAGTGCTGATCTACATCTTGGCCAGAATGACTACTTTGGTTTTTGAGGAAAGAAAACAAATGACTTACTTGGCTTAGGTATCAGGATCACCTTACTTTCATGTRAAAGGGATCTTATTTGTGTTTAGTCTATTTATAAGCCTGCCAGTCAGTGAACATTTTGCTGACATATTCAAGTTGTTCTGGGGTGAGACCCAAAGGTCCTTGGCACTAGGCTTTTAGCTACGCAATATGAGATAACCGCATAGGAGTTAGAGCATGTTTGGGCCCTGTTTCTAAGTCCCTTTAATATTTTTTTAAATAACATTTTAGAGAAGTTTTAATGATAATATTAAATCCTTCTGTAATTTGTGTATTAATTTAATTACGAGTTATATTTGGTATGAAAATTAATATCACTTTCGAATAAGTAAGCAAATTATTTTGTAATGAATAAACGGCTCGAGAGCTGAATGGACTCGTAACGAGATATTACATTCATTTCCTCGTTACGTGCAATGAACTAAGCTTTATGGATTACCAGGGTCACCGTACCTCCATGTAAACAGTATGCTAATTTATTCATAATAATAATAATAATAACTTTATTTCACACAGAATTCAGAAAGCTAACTGCTTATATATTTACACTGGAGCTGTGCATAAGAAAAAAAGTACAGATATAAATTAATATTAGAGATGAAAAATTAATTAGTAATCACTAATAATACGAAAAGAACATTCTTAAAAAGATCCCTAAAAAGTTCTAAAAATTCTATATTATTATAATATGTGTAAAAAAAAACTTAATATATATATGATCTATTTATTTATTTGACTGGGGTTAGTTCTGACATTAGCAATATCATTTACATTCGATGTAATGGACCCTAGCCCTATCTATCTTGGAAGCCAGGCTAACATGAAAACACAAGAGAAACCACACTTTAGCTTGCTCTCAATGGAATTTGTGGCATTTCGTTTGTATTTGAATGCAAGCCTCGCATTCAAGATATTTTAAAGTAGGGCCCATTCTTTAACTTTCCTTTCAGGTAATCAACTCACAAARGCCAACTTTCTTTTGCCTGGAAACTGGGCTCCCTGGTCGCCGTGCAGCACATCTTGCGGTATAGGTCACATGGTACGACATCGATCCTGTGCTGCCAGACCTCCTGGGATCTTAATCTTTGCAAGACAAAAAAACGCGACTGCTGCTGTGAACGAAACTACGACGTGTGCTCATAGGGTATCGTGTTCTGGTAAGTAATATCAAAACTCAACGTTAATGAACATTCAAATAAAGTCTGGACTGGTGAAGTCAGGACATTGATAAATAGCAGATATTAGAGTCACACTTTATTTCCTTCAAACAATTGTTGCATTTAGGTCAATCTCTATACATTTTATTGTATTGAAATTGTCCCATATACTTTGTTTGTTGCTCTACAGGTGTCAAGTACTTTCTTACAAAAAGTTGGCAGTCATGTGACCAAGTGTGTTCGACCAATGATCATATATGTGCAAGAACAGGTCATGATTTTCCTTCGAAAAGTGCGTTGCCAATTTACAAGGCACTCAACCTCACGTGCGTCTTAAAAAGCGGTCCTGATACCAAGTACAAATACCAAGACCACCCTGCCTTTTACTCTGTGAACTCTTCCTCTGTGGGGGAATGTGTAGGATATGAAAATACTCCAAAGGAGATCAGTTGTGGTCAACATGCCAACCCAGGAGCGATTCGGATTTGTCCCTGTAAGCTACGTCCAAGTGAGTATTTATCAGACTAATTAATTAATGCTAGGAACAAAAGGGTTACGTAGCAGTGAGAGTGACTATCAATCCGACCATTAATTGAATTTAAGAAATTAAGAGAGAATTCTTTTCGTATTCAAGCAGTGAGCGCCAAAAACTATTTTCTTGAAGAAAGGCTGTTGTACAAGGCTAATATCTTGTTATTCAGAAAGTTTAACTTGTTTAGAAGTGGAGATGACCGATGATTAAAGTGGAATCAAAGTGTTAATCCAATGCAAAAATTTGAATCGAAAGTAAGGTTTAGGCCTTCATTTGCTTATTTCCTATATATTTTCTATAAAAAAAGCCTGACAAAGCAACATTCTAACACAAATGCAACAAAACATCTTTGCACAATTGAAAATACCGCTTCAAACAGGCATTTTATCATAGTACATCAGTTTCTAACTGTTTAAAAAAGGTTTTGAGTGTTAACCCAAAACGAAAATTGGGATCAAAACTCATACGAAAGTCTAGTTTTTGGCGCTTTTTGCCATTATTGCTCATTATTGAAAAACATTTCCTCTTAAATTTAACTTTTTTTCCAAAGAATTTCTAAGACCTCCTAGAAACATCAGTGCCTACAACACAAGCTCAACCGCAATTGTAGTAAGCTGGAATGGTATCCCCTCTATTGAAATCACCGGTTATCAAGTGACACTTAACGATACCAAGACTCAAGATTCTCGCTCCATTAACTGTAACGCAAGTACGACGCTGATGATGATTAGTGGGCTGGAGAAATACAGGTTGTACTGTGTTCGCGTCCGAGTTTTGGTGCTCAGGAATAGTGGCATTGGGAATTTTAGTGATTGCCTTTATGTAACAACAGATGAAGATGGTGGGTAACTTTAATGTTTTTACCACTTGGTGTTTCTTTTTTTGTTTGTTTGTAATGAATTAAGGCTGCGTTCATAGTGTTTGGTAGAGAGGGGGGGGGAGGTGAAATTGAGGGGATATCGGGAAAATTTTGCTAGGAAAAAGGGGGGATGGGCAAATTTTTATTAGAAAAATGGGGGATGCACAATTTTTGGAAGAAGCTACAAGCCTTGCCTAGGGGGATCGTATTTTTTTCTATGACTTTAAGGGGGGTGTTAAGAATTATTCTGGACATTTCAAATTTTCACTTGCCCCCCCCCACCCCATGCATTATGAACGCAGCAGAATGTAATATGAATTAAATTTAAAGTTTAAAAAGAACCCTGTTTATAAAGAAGTGACTCGTCCGTACTGAGGAGCTTTGTTGTAAAAACAAAAACAAAAACTCGGAAAAAAGCTATTTTATTGTTATATTATAATGACACTAGAAAGTTGTTGTACGTCAAGTAAGCGGTTTCATCTAGCTCGATGCACAAGAAGTGGGAATTATAATCTTTAGATATTTCTCACGCGTCAGCTATATTTCCTTGAACAACATTTTTCTCATTCATGTATACACCTATTTCGAAAATCGTTGTTGCAACAAGAGCCTCAAATAACAAGCCAAGACTCCAGAGAACGTTGGTACTTTTAGTTATAATTTCGATTTATTCTTGGTTCATGCAAGTGGCTATAGCTCTCCACTAATTATCATCTCAAGCAGCCTTGCTTGGAGCAATTTGTGAAGTCAATAAATGAAAATGCACCATGAATAAACTAATTACAGCTAAAAGTACCGGCGTTCTCTGCGGTCTTGGCTTGTTGCTTGAGGCTTTTTGTGCGACAACGATTTCTGAAATAGGTGTATATGTTTCGCATTAAAGCGCTTCAGAATAAAGAATTTTTCTCATGAGAAGAAACATGTCTGATCCGTTAAAACAGTTCCATAATATTGTCTCGTTGATCCCAAATTCGTGAGTTCAATTCTTTTAATTTCTTTGTCATAGTGCCTGACAGACCTCCCCAAAATCTCAAAGCATCAGCCAATACTTCAAGGTCAATTATTGTATCCTGGGATCCAGTGCCATTAGGAAATCGACACGGCATTGTCATTGGTTACAAGTTGTTTTACTTCTCTTTGAATGCCAGCAGCGCAGAGAAAGTTCATTACAACTTGACCGTGCCCAGCACTGACCGTTACACTCAACTATCTGGACTTGAACCAGTAACTCTTTATTGTGTTAAGGTACTCGCTTTCACCAGGATCGGAAATGGAAACATTAGCAGTTGTGTTACAGTATGGACTCGAAAACAAGGTATTCTCCTTGCTGAATTTATGCTTTTTTGTTTTAAGATTAAGTCCGCTTTTTCTTTGCCTTTACATATGCCTTACCTCGTTAAATCAACCTTTTGCTGCAAAATTTTCAGTTATCGAAGGTCATTTCAGCCTGACAGTAAGAAGCTTTCTCAGCCCTTTCTTTGTCAAAGTTCGATGGAAGTCGCAGGTGAAAATCTTAAAAGACCTTGTGAGCTATAAGGTGATAACACGGTCGATTCTAGGTGGAAATGWAGATCTTTTGAACAAAACAACGTCCATATTGCTCTTTGACAAGTATGCTAATGAATACACCGTCGACGGATTGCAACCGTTCAGCAAAATCGAGATACAGTTGGTTGCTATGGGAAACTATGGACCCTTGAAATACAGTACGACTGTAATTTCAGGTATTTAATATTTTCTATTGTGCTTGCCATTTTGAGCTTTGACAGTAAGATAATCTAAAATCAAGAAAATGTTATCCATACYGAGGTATGAAAAAATTTGGTCGAGTTGGTATTGAAGTGTATTCAGAGATTTTTTTATAGGACAGATTTCCAAGATACCGCGGATTTCTTCCACAATGTCCCACCATGCACTGAAATGGCATTCGACCCAGATTTTCCTCAACTTCGTCATGGCTAATTAAAATCATTCAGTTAAATCAAAGAGCGGGATATATTTATAAGATCATAGGCTAAGGTTAATAACACAGGTAAGTCAAAGAAAGCGGCGAAAAGCCTCTTTAACGAATTGAAGAAGGTGGACTACACAACCGTGACGCCATGTATAAATGATGGGGGTGATAAGTCCACTCTTTGATTCCCCGTCTCTACTAAATTTCCCTTTTTCCTCTTGCTTCCCATACGTACATCTCTTCTGTTGTATCTCGTCTTCTTTTTTAACCAGAAACTTGTCGATGTCCAACGCATTTTTTTGGTTCCTGGTGGAACAAGCCTCCATACGCCTTCAATTCAACAGAAGATACATCATCACCTGAAGGACTGATACCCCGAACATTATCAAAAATGGTCAAGGCTATTTGTGGAACGTGTGCCATGAACACTAGTACCACAATAGATTTCAAGAGGATCAAATCTACCGTAGCCTCTGGGGTGAACAGCACTGAAAATCAATTCTTGGACCTGAAAAATGTGGACTTCTTTTTTCCAATTCACAAGTCAGAGTACCAGAACGAAAAAGTGTCTTCAACTAATTATGTATCGTTGATTAGAGTACCGGGTCTAGTTTTAGTGACCAAAAGAAAATCTCCCGCCACCTATGCCCGTGCATTAGCCCGGTCGGTCTTCCATTGTTGGCCACTTTTTGCTGTCAACATTGTCATGGCGTTTTTGGCAGGGATAGTCACTTGGTTGCTGGTATGTTAATGATATGAAATAATTCGACAAGGTTGAGCAAAATATTAAGCAATTATTTGACGATGCCGAAGCTAGGCAGATATATTAACAAACATGACGATATATTGCCCCAACTCGTCCAATAATCGTTTTATCATTCAAATTATTTTTT